ACTACCTGTACAGAAGTAAAACAAAATCACAGTGAAGGTCTCGTCTCTAGATATTAACTTATTTGAGAATGTCAGACCTACAATCAATCATCTCTTTTTATAAAAATAAAAAAGGAAACAAAGGATGAAGAGAACGTGGAAATGAGTACGTGACAAGGGAGGAAGAATAAGTTTTCTTTCTAATCAATGTGCGTTGTTGCGTTGTTTTAATCATCTTCGTACGTTGTTACGTTGCTAACTAATATAAGAATAAATATCCTTTTTAGTCCCTAAAAAAAATTTGGTCCTCACTTTAGTCCATTATAAAAAAAAAATTAGTCACCTGATCCCTATGGACCCACTTTGGTCTTTCTGTGGGACTAGTGTAGGTCTTTTTTGAATTTGTGATGGACCACGATTTTAATTAAATTGATCTACTTTAAATTTTTTAAGGACCTCGAGACTATTTTTTTTTTGTAAAGGACTAAATTGAGAATCATGTTTTTTGTTAGGGACTTAAAAAATTATTTACTCCTAATATATATATTGAATCAAGAGACAAATAACAATCTACACAAAAAAAAAAAAAAAAAAAAATTAAAATCAAAAAGTTTATGACCGCACTTGCGGGTATTTGCCCGCAAGTGGGTCCGCCAATGATACCGGTGTCAAATTTTAATTTTGACACCTCATCTGAGAGCCGTTATATCAAAAAAGATCAACGACTCTGATTTGCAAGCATGTGACGCCTTTGATCTTTTTTGATCTAACGGCTCTCAGATAAGATGTAAAAATTAAAATTTGACACCGATATCAAAAGATCCTATATATATATATACTCATGACTTGGAGGGAAAAGATTTTCACCACTAATTCTAAAATAATTCTTATAAAAATCGAACCTATGACTTTTGAGCCACCAAAGCACCAATCTTTATGAGTTGCACTTCGCTTAACAACTGGGCTACAAGTTAAGGTTATATAGATATTGGTTTAGTAACTTTAGTTCGTTACTTGGATTAGATTCTGTACCGTATCTTGGGAAAGGACATGGCACATTGACACAATCCAATCTTTTGGTCCAATGTTCATTCTTGCTTTGTCTCGTTGGATTTGTGAAATGTATTCGACCCCCAATACATTTATCCAATTTCTTTACGACGATGAAGAATTCAATGTTCACCAACAACTTATGCTCCGGAAGAAAATATGTTGTGTGGTGAAGAGAAACAGCAGAAAACATGTTCAAATCCTTAAGATAAGGTGATGACACGAGTCAAGTAAAACCAGAGCAGTATGGGAACCAGAAAATAATAATAAATCAGATCAGAAATCTTGTGGCTTATTCAACTTCTTTACCTTTCCAATCAAATGTATTCTATTTTGGCTCGCCTCGGTCTTTTCATTATATGATTCTTAAAAACAAAAAACGGCACATTGATGTGAATGATTCAATGAATACCCTTTACTTTTTTGATTGGCCTTGGCCCCCTTTACAAAAAAAAAAAAAAAAATACATTGAGAAGGTACAAGTTAACTTCCTTTGAAAATGAAATAAAAATAAAGATTGAATAGTTTTTCATTATTAGCTCATCAAATCCATCCATGGAACCAGAAGTTTCGTAAAAATTCATTTTAAAAGTATTGAAAATTATTGTTTAAATATAATATTTTTTCTGCTAAATTATGAAATTAAATTTGACTCAACATCAATATGTAATTCTAATTATTAATAAATAAAAGTACTATATCATTAGAGTAATTATAATATTTTAATTGTACAAAATGTATTTATTTTATTATTTAACATCAGATGACTTATTAATGATATGGTCATTTAATTTAAACCCATTCTATATGTAAATATGAGATATGATCATTTTATATCAAGATAAGAATATTAAGTTTTATGTTAGTCTTGATTGTAGATTTACTTATATTTAACTGTTCTAATTTATTATTCACATTAACAGTTAAGTGTATCCATAATCAACATTTAAGATTTAAATTATATGTTTACAAAAAAAATATTGAAATTATATATTACATGGGTGGGGTTAAAGGTGTCAGTTGGTCTAACAGGGGCCTACGGCTAGACCTATATCAGGGCAGATTCGGCATGTCACATAAAGTCAAGTCGAACAGGTTCAGACCTTAAAAAAAGCCTATTTAAAAAATAGGCCATAGAGTTGCTTTGATATGTCGGACCTATAAGCTTACAGGTCGACCTATATCATATTATTTATTTTAAAATAAAATAAATAAATTATTATTTTAATAATTTTGAATAATAAAATAATATTATTTTTATTATTATTAAATGTCGAATAGGATTAAATAGGCTAACAAATCTGACTCAAGACTTTTATTTTTTAAATATAAGACAAACCAGACATAATTTGAATCTCTACAAGTCTAAGAGACCATGTCAGGTTTAAAGTTTTTTACATAAATCTACCATCTATAAAACAAAGTCTAACCCATCTCAGTTTATTTATACTCCTAATTACATCAATATAAAAGATCTAACCAATATTTAAACCAAAAAAGAAAAAAATCTATCCCGTAAATATATAGTTGGTTTATCACATGGGCTGAAAATGACCAATTACTGGATTGTCATCCTTTATTGACTTCTACCCTGATGAGAGGATAAGATAAGTGGTCCACTAACTTATTTAAATCTCAGTGCATGACATCCACTGCGTTCTCTCCAACAAATACAAAATGTCATTAAACTTTTACAAATACTTAATGGGATCTATTTTGAATTTTTATTTTGGAATATTAGGACCGACTTGTTTGGATCTTCTATTTTTTAAACTAAAAATTACTTATAAGTTAAAGCTAAAAAAAAAAAGCTAAAAGCTATTTGATTACATGAAATTTTTAGTTTAAAAGTTACTTAAAAACATATATTTCAAGAAAATTATCTATCTCTATGTCTATAGCTCTTTATTTAAAAAAAAAATACACAATTCAAGAAAAGCTGATAAGAGCTTAAAAAACAGCTTTTATCTTTTAATTTTTTTCTTCATTATAAAAAAATGAGTTTTTCATTATAAGAGTTTTTCTTAAAACTTATGCTTATAAATAATTTCTAAAAAAAAGAATTCAAACAGACACTAAATTTGACGAAATATAAATTCTTGAAATGAGAGCAATCAGCTTGGTTTTAATCCATACCAGTAAAAGGTAGATAGAAATTTTGCTTGGCCTAGATTGTTAGGCTGTTAGCAACAATGTTATAAAAACTGGACTCACTCGGTCGGGTCGACCCGTAAATCGGTGAATCGATCATGTAATCGGTCTGGTTTTCATATTGAACCGGTCATGTTACAGAATCGATGTGACCCGGAGCGACCCGACCGATTTTCGTAAAAATCCGTGACCCGGTCGGTTCCATCGTTGACCCAGCCCGGTCTATAAAAAAATTAATTAATTTTCATAAATTAATGTCTTTTTTTTTTTACTCTCAAACACAAATGATTTGTTTTCTTTTGAAATATTTGAGTGATTTGTAGCTTATTAACTTACATAGATTATGTACCTACAACACTAATATTATCTTGATTGTGCAATATGCAGGAAATTTTGATCTGATTTATAGTTAGATATGTCGTTTACTGAACTGAAAGAGTAGTATCACAAATATTATATGTTTGATTGATCTTTTGTTGGACAATGATGTGTAATTTATTATTTTCATATTAAAATATTTGAAATTTGTATATTTTTTTACAAGTATTTAAGTATATTTATAGTTTTTTAATATAAATTGTAGATTTACATATACTTATCGGATCATGCGATTGAACTAGTGATCTAATACCTCAACCGAGTCCGATCGGAATTTAATAACATGGGTCAGTAACATCAATAAACATAAAGACAAAGCAGGGTTCACCATCCAAAACGCTACTGGATTCCAAATGGTGGACCGGAAAAACAAAAATAAAAACAGACGTTATAGCCCAAATCTGCTTCTTCTTCTTTTAAGAAAATAAATTGTATTTAGCTGACGAAATAAAATATGCGCAAATGATTTCCCAACTAGTCAGTAGCCTAATAGTCATGCAATGCAAAATAATTGAACCGAATTGTATTTTTTAACTAACTTTATAAATTAATTTAAAAATTAAACCAAAGAATTGGATTTGAGAAGCCAATTCAGAATAAGTTCGAAACCTATTCAGAATTGATTTGCATATCCGAACAAAGTTCTCAACAGGTTTGGAACAGATTATAACTGATAAACTGATTTTAAAATATGAATCGGTTACAAATCAATTTAGAAAAAATAAAACCAATTTGTATTAAATAAAACAAGTCGAAGCTATTTAAATTTATTCAGCTTGGTTCATGAAAGAAAACTGGTTGAAATTAAACCATACACAACCTTAGTAATAATTAGAAAATTATTGATTGGTTGCCTTGGATATCAAATTCTTTTATATTTTTTAAAAAAGTTAAAATTAACAATACTACTTCAACAATAATACCATACCAATTGTAGTTTACCAAAAAAAAAATATCATATCAATTGTGAATTTCATCTGCATTCCAATTACTCCAACATAAATATTCCTCCTTTGGCACATGTGATAAAGAACCTTTGGCACATGTAGTAAAGAACCTGCGGTCGCTTAACCAGAGATTTCAAATTAATGGAAAAAAAGGATTTAGTATAACAACCCCCAAAAGTGCTCAATGAAGATAGTTTTCGATTACAAAGGATACTCTCGCCGCCGGAGGATACGTTTGAGATTACTCAAAAAAAAAAAAAAAAAAAAAACAAATCCAGGCCATCAAATGCTCAATTTTTCCTTTCGTAACCAATGGCATGCACCCATTTACCTTGTTCATGCATCCTTCCCGTATAACACAGTTGCTCGAGCTAATAAAATAGCAGTAGTTGCACGTCCCAAACGGAAACTAGTATCAGTTAGGCAAAATTAGCAAGAAATTGGAAAAGAAAAAATTATATGAAATGAAAGGAAAACGAAATTGAAGTACTGGCTTAAATTTTACGAAAAAATAGAGGTTACTTTTATCGTTCTACTATTGATAGATTACATTTGTTTTGAATGGCATACTGTCATGTAGGGAGAAAAAAAATACAAAAAGATCTTGTTCTATAGTTTGGCCTCCTTACATATATTGTTAACCATTGGATTCCAACACCCGAGGGTGAAGGAACAAGGAACTTAGATTTTATCTGATACCTTCAAAGAAGGAGCTGGTATTTCATGGACTGCAAAACCGCGACGACACCAATCAGGGTCAACGTGGTAAGCTGCTCACTGTTGTGCACCTTTCATTCATTGATATGTGTGGCTCATTTGAATCCTTCTGAAACCTGGTCAGGGATGTAAAAGACTTTTACCAAAATGCATAAGAATGAACAAGGATAACTCGTGGAAATTTTTCCCCAGTAAGTAGTGAAGGAAAAAATAAACTTCAGCCTATCAAAACTCAAAGAGAAGAAGCTAAAGCTTGAATGTTAGAGAAGTAAGCAACAGCATACAACTGTTTAAAATACGGAGGTAATGACTGAAACTACTCCTGTATAACAAGCAATCAAACCTTTTCACTCAACAGAAATCTTAGATACATTGAGGAAAATCATAACTTTTCAAATTCCAAAACAAGTAGACAATTGACATTGAAGAGCATGTTACTTTAAAAAATTTCAAAACCAAATTAATCCAAGACTTAAGAAGTGATGTCTAAACTAGGACAAGGTTTACAGATAACTTACCCAGTTTCACTGAAATAGAAAAGATTGCTTAAAAGGCATGGCAAGTGAAACAACCACTCAAAGAACGCATCTGGCTGGTTCTAAGAAAAGATGAAGCCTTGTGGGAAGTTCTTACATCTTGCTCGACTTGGTTGGGTAAAACTGATCTTCTCATCTCCTGAGCTTTTTTCTGAGCCAATCTAAGCTTGTTCATAATCTTATCCATAGAGGATGCTCGCCTCTTTTCCAACTTCATCTGAAATAGAAAAGGTAATAATCACAATCATGATCCATTTGTTTATGCTCTCTCTCCACTCTAATTTTTCTCCTCCTTTATTTATTTTTTAAAATCCTTCGACTCCAAATACAGAGTAATCCTTAAAGCATGTATGCAGTTAAATGAATTAACAAAAAAATATGATCCACATAATGCTTGATTTGTGCATCATAACAAAAAAAGGCATTTTACTCACATAAAAATTAGAGACATTCTTTAAGACTTCATAATGGACATTCAGCTAACTAAGGACAGCCAAAAGGATACTGAGGGTAAATATTTCAGCAACTCAAATTGAGGGTAGAGAAAGAAGGGAGAACTCCAAAAACAAAACTCTCAATGATAATATTTATGATAAAGGGACAATAACTCTAAATGATGCTGGTTATTTTGCTTCATAGTAAATATTTTTAATAAATTCCTTATATGGAACTCTCCAAATAAACAAATCACTAGGAAGTAACCTCTAGTTTCCGTATTGCTGCCTCAGCTTTTGCCTTTTGCAAGTTCTCCCATGCAGTGATTTTGGCTTCCTTACTTTTAGCCCTGGACAAATAAAAATAGCTGGCATCTTAGAAACAACATAAAGTTTGTGCATAAATTTCTTTGCCAGAAAATTATCGGAGTTTCCTCCCGAGATAAAAATGGTCAGATCTTACTAATTCAAACTTTTCAACTTCCTTAATTGAATTGTTTAGTACGAGTAATTTGAATCACAGTTGAAAGGTAATAAAGAGAGATTATTGACAACTCATGCACACTTGGCATTTTAATTGAATCATTTCTCGGACAAAAACATATAGTTAATCTAGTAAATCGATCATAATAAACCTCACAAACACCAATTATTGTTGCCCTAGCATGAACTACACAGGATCAACCTCATTTTCAGCGTAGCTCATAGCAATTGGATAAGGGCGGAATAAAAACAACTCAACTTTAAAGTGAAAACTTCACTTCTTAATATAACCCATTCACCCTATTAGTTTCAGATTTTCAGTGCAAACTTGTCCTGAATTAGTTTCTCTTTATTTTAATAGATAAATTGAACCGAATTGACACAATGCCAGAGTAAACATACTTTGAGACAGTTTTTGAGGTTTCAGAAATGTCCCAAGTTGAAGATTGAGCGCTTATTTCCTTCCTTTTCCAGCTTTCAACATTTTCTGAGCCTCTGCCAAAGAATAGGGCCCTATGTTTCTTGGACCACCTTGTCATGGTTACATGTTCATCCACCTGCACATCCCTGATATCCGCCTTAGAGAAAGAAACACTCCGCAATTCTGTCACAGGCAAGGCAGATGGAGTGGAGGCAGAGAAAGAAGGCCTCAAATTGGGAGAGGAGCATGAGCTACCCTGTGGGCTCATCTGGGTTGCCATGTCCCTCCTCGAAACAGCACGAGATACATCGGTTCCCACATCTTTTAAGCCATCAAACTTATCCTCTGTGAATTAGAACAAAAAAAAAAAAGAATGCAAGATCAGATGCCTACAAGCATTGAAGCATAGTTTCTTATCATATAAGAAGACCACAGTCTATACTTGTGATGACACCGTTATGCATAAAAATTGTTTATAACCTCACTTCATTTCAACTATCAACCAATCATTAGTGTCTAAAGAAATCATTTGTTTCATTTATACGACCTTTTAACAAGGGCAGAATACATGATCATAGTATGGGTAGTTTGCAGAATACATTGGGCGAATTCAAAGTCCGACAATTATAATTCATTTAAATTTTGCCCAAGTCAATCCCTTGCGGGTCGCCCTTTAAACATGCAATCTTCCATTGTCAAGTTTGCATAGATGAAGAGACTTTTAAGCATAAGTTCATAGATGAATAAGTTAAAATTGTATGTAATGGAAATCTAAAGGGAGTCTAGGTCCAAACAATGGATATAATAATAATAACCTTGGGCAGGCTTTGATGGTTGACTCTGCATCCCAGAGCAGCATCCATGAACACTAACTGAGCGGGCCATGCAAGGTTCTGTTCTCGTGGGAAGTACTCCACCATGGCCAGTGGAACTGGTTGTGAATCCATCAGCAGAGATAACACCAGCCGAAAATGGAGAAGCTGCCATAAAATTCCCTGCATTCCCCCTTTCAAACATTGGCATTGCTGGAGAATACAAGGAATAATAAGCAATACCAGGGGGTCCAAGTGGACCACTCTTGGACTTTGGCTTCCTCTGGGGTGGGGGAAGCGAAGCCCTCCCAATGCCATCTCCTGAAACAGGACTGAGAATCCATCTCTCAGCATCTTCCCATTTGGAAGGCAATGTTCTCCCGTTGTTGAATGGCAACAAAGCCGCACCCACGTGCTTCCGGGTAGCACTTGTATGCGAAGGAACTCGCTCGGAGCTCCATCCCTTTTGCATTGCAACACGATAATTGGGTGTCACGGGACTAGGGAAAGTGGCAGTGCCAGACCTTCGAGAAGAAAACGAACTCTTTTTTACAGTTCCAAGGCGCGGCGAAGATCCGGTGGCATTGTTCAGATCTAATGGAGCAGGTTTCTTCAACAAGGCTTCAGATCTTGATCTCTTGTCTTGACATTCTTTGTTTACAAAGAAAAGCAGGGATTAAAATAAAAATAAGCCATAAAGCGGACACTTTTTTTTTCAATTATTAGAGAGTGGCAGCGATACCTTTGAGGGCCAGAGAGAAAGAGTTTCTTGCTGAGTCCAATTCCAGTAGTTGATTTTCGTCTTCAATATCAACGTCGCTGTCCTCGTTTTGAACTGCGATGTGGATACGCTACAGGGTCAATTTTGAAATCGTCGAGCCCTCGTGGCGAATTAGTAATTTTTGCAACAAAACAAAAACAAAATGGTGTATACCTTTTGCCTTTTCTCCATTTCTGGCGAAACGACCGTGCTTCTTGTTGTTGCGTACTGCAGGTTTGTTTGGATTTGGATCTGGACCTGGACCACTACAGCTATCGTCGCGAGCAAAATCACCCTCATGCCCTGCCAAATGCTGCAACAGATTCCAGAAGGATTTAACACTGGGCCAACCTCAAATCTTTTCTAGCTTAGATTCGACCTTTCAGACATGCGTCATCTTAATTAGTACACTCAAAAAACAAAGCTCATTATTCCTAAACACGGATTATCATCATTCAGTGTTTGTGGTCGAAAAAATAGAGAGTATGAAGTACGAACCAGGGAGAATTCAGAGGCAAAAGCGTCGTGATCATGAGAGTCAGATGCAAATGAGCATCGATCAACGCTGGCAGAAGCAGAGGAGAAGAGACTCAAGTTGGATTCAAGAGTGAAGACGATGGACTCGGGGCTGCTTAACCCCAGCCTCCACGAGCTTCGTTCCTGAAACCCTAACTCCGCCATTGTCGACAAACTACCTTATCTTCTCCTCACACTCACAGTAAGCAGTACATGAGATTCGGTTTTTTCATTAACAAACAAGACAGTGACAATTTGGCGGTTGTTAGAAGAAAACAACGCCGAATGAACCATTTCCATTCAGGGAGAATGGTAAAAAGAATCGTGGACTGTAGAAAAAGACAAAAGACTTTTTGGATTTTAACTTTTAAGGAAGAAGGTCTACTAGTACAGTAGCTTGTAATACGGTAGTTTTTTAAGCTAAATCCTCGTTGCCTTGTTTTACACGCAATTTAGAAAAAAAAAATAAAAAAATCCATGCGTGGATTTGATTGGTTGCGAAATAATAACCATAGGGTGCATCTGTCCTTACTCGTTGACCAACAGAGATCAAATACGAACCACTGGACCAGATACATCCGTCCCGCCAAAATTGCCTTCATGCTTTCGAATTTGTTTTTTCTTCCAAATAAAAATTCAGCTCCCGGTTGACATATTTTTTTTTGGAGTTACTCAATCTTAATTATCCCTTTGAGATGAGTTGGCTCCTTCCGGTATTTCCACGAACTTCGACTCTTTGAACCGGCTGTGGAACTAATCCGGAGTGCGGAGAAACAGTGATGACTAAAGGTTCAGCCTCTCCCTAATTGACATATTTACACGCGGGAAAGAGGGAACATGTGTAATTAAAAAAAAGGTTTAATAATTGTTATTTTAATTTCTTGACATATATTAAAAGACAATTTAATCCTATTTTTTTATAAGAAAAATTAAAAACTGAATTGATGGCTATAAAAAAAATATGATAGAGAAAAATTTGATATTTTTGTAAACTGGGCATTAACCTTACCTACCCAGCCTTGAACTATCATTTATATGGCATACATTTATTTCTTGTGATTTTTATTCGAATCATAGTTTTAAATTTAAAAAAAAAAAAACATATTAATAGCACTTGTGGTTAGGTAGGTATGGTCCTTATCTACACTGAACTCACAACATATTTGTTAGCGCTTGGACTGAAACCTCACCGCTCATGAGTCATGGATGATTCCATTTGCCATATCAAAGCTTGAAAGCACGATAGATAAATAAGGGTTAATTTTAGCAAAAAAAAAAATATAGAATAAAAAATATAAAATTAACACAAAATACATTGACGGCATAAAAATAAAAACAAAAATAATAGTTGTGCACTATTGATTATACATTATTTTATAAAAATTTCATCGATCATGTTGCACGAGAAAAAATAAAGTTCCTCTAGACATAAAATTTTGTAAGATCCACTATTTTAATAAATAAAAAAAAAAATTGCACATTTTTCTATGAATCATTGATTGGATAACTTTTGTTTCCAGCAACATTATAGTTATATTTCTCTTATTATATATCAGTCAAATAGCATATATATACAATTAATAAATAACATGTATTATGTGATAAACAAAAATATTAATAATAACTCAGAGCAACTAAAGATACCTACAGATCCCATACTTTTATTACTCCGTTACACCTCTTGTGTCCGGGTGAGGAGCACGCTAATCGATTATTTATTTCTGGGTACCGAATTTACAACTTCTCCTCAAATAATTTATCTCAAAACCCTTTCACACTATAAAGAACAAAGTATTCTCAGCCAAATCATGATATACTCAAATATCATGCTTCTAGAATAAAGTATATCAAACTAACAAAAAGTCGAACAATACTTCTAGCAAGCGCACCACCGTGAACTGGCCATTGAGTAATCATTTTTATTTATTTATTTATTTTTTTGTAAATATCATTTTTATTTATTAGTAGGCACATCATTACTACGGAAGCCAATTCGATGCAACACTGAACATAATATATATACACAGAAACGAATATCTCGTATTTCAAACATTAAAAGGTAATTCGCACATGAACTAAAGCCTAAGGTTGTATTAATATATAGTCGATCTGTGCTGAGTTAGCTCGTTGACTTGCATAATTTTATAGTACGAAAAAAAACATATTTGAGTGTGCTGTGTTTGTTGACCGATGGGAAAAGGGGTTGGAAGGTGGGACTCAAATTTAATATTCTGTCAATCCTGATTTCTTAATAAAAATTAAATAAAAAAACACATCTCGATAAAATTCTTACTTATTTAGTTTTTGGAAAAATTATTAGTCTTTTTAAAGATATAATTTTGCTTCATCCAAAGAGAAATTACAGCGTTTTATTAGTGGTTTTTATATTTTTTCTCTGGGATAGATTATTTTGTCTATTTTATTTTATCTATTTCTCTTAACATTGTTAAATTACAATTTCATTTAACGATGGAGATTTGCATAATAAAATAAATTATTTTACATCATTCTCTCTCTCGTAGCCTCCTACTTTTTCTCTCTCCTCACATTTCTCTGCGTCGCATCATATCCTACCTGTGTCTAGGGGTGTTCATCAACCGATCCAAACCGATTCAAACCGCGAAAACCGAACCGAAAAACCGATAACCGAATAAACCGAAAACTGAAAAATTGGAAACCGAAAGAAAACCACAAATTTTAATTGGATTGGATCGGTTTTCGGATGAGTTGATGAAAACTGATCCAATCCAAACCGATCCAATATATTAATTATTCTCTACCTTCTTGTCCTTTCTCCAATCATAGCCCAAAATTTTCTAAACTCAAGACCCATTAACTCATCAAGTAAACCCAAAAAAAAACTTAGTCACGTCTCATCAACTATGGTATTGTTTACTGATATTTTTGTATTTCAATTTTTTTTTTACAAAGCCAATATATACAAAAGATGTTATTTGCACAATAATCATGAAACTTATTTTAGGATTTTCAAAAAATCGAAAACCGATCCAATCCAAACCGAAAAAAATTGGATTGGATCGGATCGGATTTGAAAAAAAATCTAAACCGAATGGATGATTACATGATCAAACCGAAGGGATTGGATCGGATGAGTTTTGCTTCCAAAACCGATCAAATCCAGACCGCGAACACCCCTACCTGTGTCCATGGAGAAAAAGAAAAAGAAAATTAAAAAAAAATAAAAATTAACCCACAAACTAAAAAATGAAAAGGGAGAAAAAATAAGAAGGAATTAAAAGAAAAAAGAATTAACCCACAAACTAAAGAATACTACCAAATCAAAACAGTGAGGAATGAAGTGAAATCAAACCTAAAAGACCAATCATATCAGCAAAACCCAGACAAGAGTGAAACGAGTCCAACTTCAAGAAGCTTCGCCAAGAGACAGATAAATCAAATGCAGGAATCATCAAATTTAAAAATTTAAAGAAGCAAATACAAAATTAAAAACAGAAAACCAATAATTTAGTTTGATCAGAACTTGAAACAAATCCCAGTATACCAATTGCAAATTTCTAGCTAGCACTCCATCCAAATGCAATCAACAATCTACCAACAATAAAAAAAGCGCCTGCTGCAAGCCAACAATTAGATTACCCTTATTTTTTAGGTAATCAACAATCAGAGAGTTTTTATTTTTTTTTTGTGTGGCAATCAAGGAACTTTGTGGTAATGGCTGATTTGTTTTATGGTAATCAACAATCATGGGATAGATTGCTCTTATTTTTTTGATAATCAACAATCACATATTTTTTTTTGGCAATCAACAATCTACAAAAAAAAAAAAAAAAAAAAAAACCTGCTACAAATCAACGAGTTGGATTACTTTTTTTTTTTGACAATCAACAATCAGAGGTTTTTTTTTTATGGGTTAATTTTTTATCTTTTTAATTCTTTTTTTTTCCCTCTTTCCAGGGACACAAGAAGAAATGATGCGATACAAAGAAAGGGTGAAAGGTAATAGAAAAGAGAAAGAGGTAAAATAACTTATTTTATCCGGCCAATTTCTATCGTTGAAAGAGAATATAATCTAATGGTATTAAGAGAAGTAGACAAAATAATTTATTTCTTGTTTTCCTCCATAATACTATCTATTTCTTTATCTTTCAAAAATTTAGAATGAGAGAGAATATAAAAAAAATCAAATATAATTTAAAATATAATTATTTCATTTAAAATGATACAAAATTGTGCCTATTTTCCTTATTTTTTAATTAAAAAATGAATAAAAGCAGAAAAACAAGATAAACGATGCAATGGCAAAGAGGTCTGTTGAATGAGAACATAGATGCATACACTACATTAGGGGTGTAAATATGTTAGGCTAGGCTAAGCTTTGACTTAAATAGGTCAGGTCTATATAAAAAATATTGGGTATGACATGACATGTTAGCTTGTGTAAGCCTCAAACTACAAATCTGGTATGAGGATGACCTATATTTGAAAAATAAAAGTCTAACCCTAGGTTTGTTAGCCTGTTTAAGCCTATTAAACATTCAACAATTAAAAGAATAACTAAAATAATATCATTTTATTATTCAATATTATTAAAAAAATAATTTTATTTATTTTATTTAAAATAAATAATATGATGTAGGTCGGCATTTAGGCATAAAGGTTCGACATGTACAAAAAAAGTCTTTGACATGTTTTCTAAATAAATTTTTTCAAAAATTTAGATCGGTTCTATTTTATTATTTATAATAGGTCAAATATGATCTAATATAGATTAGGTCATAGATAGGGTGAAAGTGGGTTGTGCTGGGTCAAGCTTTGCCCCGAAAAGCCCAAGCCTACGCCAAAAAATTTCAATTTGGCCTGGCTCAAGCCTATTACGAGTCTAACTGTTAGTCTGACTTGACCCGTTTATAAAAAAATAAATGGCCTGGCCCAGCCCATTAGCCTGTTAATTTTTAACTTCCAACCAGAATCATGAATCAACTTTACAGAATACTCAAATTTTGTTGCTAAACTAAAAATCATAATTTTAACATCCAAACAGAATCATGAATCACAACAAAACTCATACAATCTACATTTAAGTCACTTTCAAAAGCAAAATGCTCAAACTAAATAACACATATTCCATCATATCCAAACAAACAAATCCATACTATGTAAATTAAAATACAAACATCAATCCAATAAACAACATCATGATGTTTGTAGTAAGTATAACTTCTGCTAAAAACCTTTTAATATATTCATATACATAATTTAACATGATGAGATGTTGGTTCCTCCTATGTAAGAAATAAAGTTAGATTTTTATTAAAATATAATCAATATAATTAAGTTATAAATAATTACAATTGATTAAATTTATATCTTTTGTTTTTTCTTCAAGGCATTCTTTTTTTTTTATTTCATTTAAAATAAATAGTACAATATAGGCCGGCCTGTAGGCTTATAGGCCAAGCCTTCTGAAAGTGTGCGGCCTTTTTATTAAACAAGTTTTTTCAAAGTTCAAGTTCGGTCTATTTTACGAAATATACTAGATCAGGTCTGGCCTGACATAGGCCAAGCCGTAGGCCCCTGTGGGCCAGCCCGGCCCAGTTTAGACCCCTCTAAATCAACCTAATTCATTTACACCCCGTGCACTATGCTTTCAGGGCTCAAGCCCGAGGGAAACTCTCCAATACATGCAATCCAATTGGATAGGAGTAAGTCAAGTTGGCCTACTTTCTCGAAGAGAATGAATGAGAAATACAAGTCTCTCCATATCATGTGATTGCCCTAAGCGAAAATGGAGAGTGATGAGACTCTAGACAATCCATTTAAAACATGAGCAACTACTCTGACTCAACCCAAATTTGCATTGTTTCATGTAACCAAACTAACTGGAGCATACTGAAAATTGCCCCAAAGTTAACAAACCAACACATTGGCAGATACAACTTGCAAACAAACCCAAATAAATACTCAGGTCCGTCAGTTTGGTTTGAAAAACTTTAAATAAGTGGGTTCAGTTTGATAAATTAGACCCTACCGACGAATCAAATAAGTGGGTTCAGTTAGATTTTATTTTTTATTTTTTGTGTGTTTGTCAGAATATTATTCCACGTAACAAATAGAAAAAAATCACTAATAGAAATTACTTGTAAGCCTCAAATAGGAGTCTTTAATAAATAATTTTTTTTTGTATCCTTAATAAATAAATATTAAATAAATCATAACAAGTTCTTAAACTTATTTTTAATATGTCAAAAATTAATCCATTACATATGAATACATGAAAATTTCAAGTGAAATAAGGGTAAGAGAAAAACAATACCTTTTTTTTTATAGGAAGATTATACTTACAACCTATTTTTATTTATAATCTCTTACAATCATATCTTAACATTGTTGATTTTCGTCAATTGACAGTTATCATTTATTGTGAATTAATAATTAATTAATGAGCTTAATTTGAAAAAATAATAACCTTTGATTAACGGAAATCAACGATTAAGATATAATTGTAAGAGGTTGTAAATAAAAATAAAGTGTAATTATGTGAATTGAATTAAGTTGTCTGAATTAACAAAATCACAAGTTCACAACCCGTAACCTGTTTTATAGAAATTGAATATTTTCAAATTTAATCCTATTAGAACTTAAATTCAACCACCATTTGTATAATGGATTAAGTACTCATTTGTCCGATTTATTTTCAACTTTTCCTCAGAGAAGCCGGATAAGCATTTTATTAGAGATTTCTTTTTTATTAAATCAAGCTATAAGTTAATAAAAGTATAATCATCGAGTAGTTTTTGACCTTATTTTTTTAAGGAAATATTTCTAATTTTAACAGTAACTTTAAAATCTGAAGTGTTTTTTTTTCTTCTAATTGTTAAAAGGTAGGGAAGGGGAAGGGTTTAGGGGGAAGAAGAAGTAGTTTGGTTTGCTGATATCTCAAAAACAGAGAAGAGAGAAGAATCAATGGAAGACGGTGAGATAGAGGAAGGGTCACTCCCTGCGGTAGAAGAAGACGATCAAGGTTTTGCGCATTCCTCAGAGCACAGCAAGTTGGAGGAATCTCCCTACGAAACATTGCATCTCAGTAAGTCTTCTGTAGAGAACATTGTCGCCGAGATTCTCGCCGTTAAGAGAGAGGGTAAACCCAAACCATTCCTTCGAGAGCTCGTTACTCAGATGTTCCTACACTTCGTCACTCTCCGCCAGGTCCCTATCCTACACTATACTCCTCAACTCCCAATCTCTAGGGTTTATAACTCACTTTATGCCTTAATTTCATAATTAACAATGCGTTGTCAATTGTCACAAATTTTAAGCGAAATATATTCAATTAAGGAGTTGATATCATCATTTTTTTTTTGAGTCATGTTGATCACCTTCATTTGTTTTCAGGCAAATCGCTCTATCTTGTTGGAGGAAGACCGCATCAAAATGGAAACGGAACGTGCCAAGGCACCGGTAGACTTCACAACCCTGCAGCTTCACAACCTGATGTATGAGAAAAGCCACTACGTTAAAGCTATAAAAGCTTGCAAAGACTTCAAGTCAAAATATCCTGACATTGACCTCGTGCCTGAGGAAGAATTTTTCCGCGACGCTCCCCAAGATATTAAGGATTCAGTTTTGTCAAATGACAATGCCCATAGTCTGATGCTGAAGAGGCTCAATTTTGAGCTATTCCAGGTGACAATGGGATATTCCAAGTCAAAAATCCTACCCAATCTATTCGATAATTTGCAATTGGGTGGATTAAAAAATTAAATAATAAAAGAGAAAGAAATGTGCATTCAATATATATTTTTAAAGAGAGTATGATAGTACCAAATGATGGTAGCTCACTTGTTGTCATGAACGCAGATGGGGTGAGAGCATGTGTTTTGATCCTTCCTATTACCGTCTTTGGGAAGGGTTTAAAGACTTAATTCCAGGACCTGTCCTGAATCGAATTAGTCGCGAAGCGATAAATCGATTGGAATATCTCAAAAAAAGAAAAGAAAAGAGCATGATAGTTGGGATATTGGTTTTTATCAAAAGTTTATATAGTGTGCCTCTTCTCTCGGCAGAAGTTTTGTATTGATAAGCTAGAAGTTGCTGCTCTATCCACTAGGGTTAGCCTAGTGGTGTGGGTGTGTAATAGGGTGGGTGTTAGTGTGAGTTGCTGTGTTCGATTCCTGTAACCTTCGAAAAAGAAGAAGTTGTTGCTCTAATAGTAAATAAGGATTGTAGCATAAACAGAAGGTAGACTGTATTAATGTGACTCTATTGGTTTGCATTTGATTCTCTATGTATCTAAGTTACTTACTTCATATTTTGTTGATATAGTTACAGAGAGCAACTTTTGTGTTGTGCTTACCTGTTAAATGAGTCTGGTCATATCAGTTTAGTCTTTTAATAAGCATCTAGTTGTACTATTTCAAAGTTGAAAATTTCATTCTAATTCATTCATCTTTTGTTATTGCATTAATAACCTGCCTTCTGAGTTTTATTTCAAATTGCACTACATATGCTTATGATTCTTATTTTAAGCATATATAGTGCAATTTGAAATAAAACTCAGAAGGCAGGTTATTAATGCTGTTGATGATGTTGATGCTTGGGATAAAGGTATTATTGATGTTGATGTTGAAGCTTATGATTCTTATTTGCAATTTTGTATCAGCGCAAAGAGCTCTGCAAACTTCACGAGAAACTGGAACAACAAAAGAAAATCCTTTTGGAGACTATTGCAAACCGAAAGAAGTTCCTGACAAGCCTCCCTTCACATCTCAAGTCTCTTAAGAAAGCATCCTTGCCTGTACAAAACCAACTAGGACTTCTGCATACAAAGAGACTAAAGCAGCATCATTCTGCAGAGTTGCTTCCACCAGCTCTTTATGTGATTTACTCACAGCTGTTGGCTCAAAAGGAGGCGTTTGGAGAACCCATTGATTTGGAGATTCTAGGAAGTTTGAAAGATGCTCAAGCTTCTGCTCGTCATCAAGCTCACAAGGAGACTGGTAATTTAGAGTTGTTGTGTCAATTTTAGCAGTCTTAGGATGGAATCTATTTTATGAGTACTATTGCAGGCGGTTTATCCACTGGTACTGGGTTATAAACATTATCATTTTTACGATTCAACTTCAAATTGGACCGTCACTCCAATGATATTATCCTGGACATTGTTAGCTCTAAAAAATTGTAGATTGTTTTAATACTAAAAACAGGATAACTTGTAAACAAAAGGAAGTTTATTATCTGCCATGCCATCAGTGCCATGTATATTAATGGTCTTCAGTTCATGTGTCCTTAGCTTAATTAAATGGATGATTGAATATTTGCAATCTTTCTATGCATGTACCTTACATGGCTTTGGAATTGCTTTAGCATTTGAATGTTTCAATATAGAATTACAATTCTGTTATTTTCAACTATCCAAAATAGAATATTTAGGGATTCACTATGATGTGGTTTTATTAATCAGGCACTTCCACCACCGTGGACAATTCCAAATTGGAAGATGATGCTCCTGATGATGAAGAAGATGGTCAGAGACGGAGAAAAAGGCCAAGAAGGGTTCAAGTCAAGGAGAGCCTTGACCAGGGAGGAATATTTCAAGTTCACCCACTTAAAATCATTATCCATGTGTATGAAGATGAGGCTTCTGATCCTAAGTCTGCAAAACTTATCACTCTTAGATTTGAGTACTTGGTGAAGTTGAATATTGTATGTGTTGGAATAGAAGGATCTAATAATGGTCCTGAGAGTGACATCTTATGCAATTTATTCCCCAATGATACAGGACTTGAGCTTCCTCACCAGGTTTGGATGTCTTCTTTACACATTGTTGGCACGTTCTTCATTTCTGCATGTTTCATTTTTACTCCAACTTATTGTTTGCATGCGATTTTTTTCTATTTGAATGGTGATGCAGTCAGCCAAACTCTTTGTTGGGGATGATATTACATTCAATACTCACATAACTTCACGTCCTTACAAATGGGCTCAGCACCTGGCAGGAATTGATTTCTTGCCTGAGGTTTCTCCCTTGCTTCTTACTGACAACAGTGAAGCAACCAAGAGTGAAGAAGTTATATCTGGTCTTTCACTATATCGCCAGCAGAACCGCGTACAGACAGTTCTGCAGAGAATTCGCTCAAGGAGAAAAGCTCAGCTGGCTCTTCTGTGAGTCGCTGCTCTAGTATGTTTACACTTTACGATTTTAGAATGTGAAGGATCCTTCTTGATATTCAAAAAAGATAAATAACATAATTTGATCAACTGAAAGTTTGCTTTCGTGCTTTGCTTTGGTTGTGTTGTTGTTAGTGACAACTTAGTATTCTTTCTTTGTTTGACTCTGCGTTGTGAATTCTTAGTGTGTATCCTGCGTATAAGATTATTGTTTTAGTATAATTCCATTCTGTTTTCTAGGATATCTTATTATCTTGCTTTTTGATGTGGTTGGACATGCTTAAGTTAAAATTTGTGGAATTCTTTCACTGGCATACAGGGAACAGCTAGAGTCTCTTACAAAGCTTGAGTGGCCTCTTCTGTCCTGCAAAAGTGTTCCATGGGCTTTGCACACTCCTTTGTGCAATTTGGATGGTTGGTCACCTGTAAGAGCCCTACCTGCACCTAGTGAGGCTTCATCTCTGGCTGTCACAGATAAAGAGGAGCATGTTCAGGGACCAATGGATGTTGATGTAATTGAACACTCTGGTGCCACAAAGGAAGAACTGGAGAGTATAACAGAAGATGGGGAGCTTCCAACTTTGCTTCCTAACATGTCTAAGTTTGACCGCTCCAAGCAACTAAGCTTAATTTCAAAAAGTATCATTCCTCCACTCAATAAAATTAGGTCACATAGTTTCAAAAAATTTGATGACAATTCTGATTTCTTGCTGGATACTGAAAGTGATCTTGATGAGCCTGCACCAATTGAACTCGAACATGAAAATACAGTATCCAATTACTGTGCCAGAAAGTCTGTCTCATGGATGGATTATGGGGTCAAGGAATTTTCCCTTGTTCTTAGCAGAAAAATCAGTGCAGATGAGAGAAATGTGAATTTATTAGAAGCCAAGGTAAAGAAGCCTCCCCTTTTATCTGCTGAATTGCCTTCAGGGATCTATTGTCAGTTCCACCTAGATTTTATTTTTTTGACAGATCAAAATCAGTGTGGAATATCCTCTAAGGCCTCCCCTTTTTTCATTGAATCTTCGTTGTGTATCTTCTGGGGAAAACCATTACGAGAATGATGGATTGGATTGGTACAATGAGCTTCGAGCAATGGAAGCAGAGGTGAGTAACTGATGGCTCAAGATGTTACTGTAGTAAAATCATTAGACAGTATCTTGTGATATGATTCTGAGGAATGGGAATAATGGGATGGTAATGCATAGCAATAATTTGGCTTCTTAGAATCACAGGTCACTGTATGTTCTTGATATGTGACCCAACACACACACGGCTTCTTAGAATCACAGGTCACTGTATGTTCTTGATATGTGACCAAACACACCACAAAAAAAAATAAAAATTCCGAACAAATAAATGATAGTAAGTAAAATAGAGAAGAGAAGAAAACAACATAATATTCCTACACCAATTTATGCTTCCCTTTCTAAATTGTAGGTCAATCTACACATGCTAAAGATGCTACCATTCAATCAACTAAATTACGTATTGGCTCATCAAGTGAGTTGTCTAGCTATGTTGTTCGACTATTATTTGGATGAGGCTGCCCCATCATCTGAAAGGACAAATTGCACTTCCGTGGTTGATGTCGGCTTATGCAAGCCTGTTAGTGGCAGGTTCCTGGGTAGATCTTTTAGAGGAAGGGATCGCAGAAAGATGATCTCCTGGAAAGACATGAAATTCACTTCTAGCTTTCCCTAATAGTGGTAGGTTCCTGGCTAGACCTTTTAGAGGAAGGGATCGCTGAAATATGATCTCCTTGAAAGACATTAAATTAATGTTCAGCCCTGGAGGTGACAAATGGGTGCTATAGAATATGATGCTTATCTTGACTATTGTAAGGATAAGGAAATTGTATTTCTGTAATATGCATTCTGCCAACCATGGGACAACATTGTACTTGACTTTGCAGCCCAAAAACTAACTGGGATACTATGGTAGATTTTGAAGGGGTTATTTCAGCCGTTGATTATTTGTTATTCTGTTTTAATATCTGGCAATTGCAGTTACACGGGTTTCAGGATACGAGCAGTCATCATGAGTAGAACTTCTAAGGATTGTACTTGCTTAGTTTCCTGGATAGTGGCTGTAATAATTTTTTTTATTGGTTATACTTGATTCTATCCTTCCGAATCCGAGATTCCCATGTAAAGACGAGATTTTTTCCTATAACTGGAATTTTTTAAAGAAAAGAGGGCATTGTTGCAACTAATTGGTTGTATTGAGTGTTAATTGTAATATATCTTTGTGTTCTAGTATTTCCTTGTAGACAATTTATTGTCCAAGGGCCCATAACTTGAGAGTTTGATTGTATTTATAGCGTAATTGATTGCCTGAGGAGTGCAAGCTTGCTATTTAATACAGCCATGAAGGATTTGTTGCATCTTATTAAACCTCAACCCCGACGTTGAGTTGCCTCAGTTGATTATGCTGGGATGCGGGATGTAATGTGCATATTATTAGAACATGCTATAATATCTGATTTTTTTATTGTAGATTTTTATCTGATTAGGTTACCACTACAAGCAGTACATGTTTGTTTATTGATCTCTAGCAGAGCAGCTTGGTTTACATAACGAATCCCCCTGGTGAAATGTAAGATACACCCTCCACGAAATTTGAAAAGGAGTCTGAATCTTAATTTTCATTCTATTGTTTACTAAAAACTGTTTTACTAGATAACGTATTGATGAAAATGACAAAATGGGCGATCAAATAACTCGAAACCACTAGTTCAAACTCTCATGAATAGTGCAAGAAAGTAAAGTGCATACATTGGACACAAAACACTACAGTCTCTCACCGAATCAAATTCAGTGAAAGTGATCCTGCACAAGAAGATTGTCTAACCAATGGTGGCAAGAAAATGGACACGTGCTGAAACATATTCTCGTGGTATTGTCACTAAACTCCCTAACTACAACATGGTGTTCAAAAGAGAAGCAAGACATCAAAGTTTTCAAGTGTGCTAACCTAAAAACTACAAGAGCCTCAATCTACAGCAGAATACGTTTTTATATATGTACATATATTTTAACGGTGGCATCATAATCCAATTTTCAATCTACCATGGACCAGTTTGTGTTCGTCTTAAGCATCTTCTCTTGACTTCTCGATGCAAATTCATCATTTCCTTAACCTGCGACATTACCAAACGCCAGATAATTCAGTACTAAGTTTGCATGAATTGGTAACCCCTTACATGAAATACTTTTGAGCCAGTAATTATGCATTAAGGGGAGCCACGAGGTAGTGAGTTTTAAAATTAGTGCTAGCATATTACAGTACCAACTGGTGCAGCCTATAAAATTGAAGTATCGTGCTCTTTAAGTGTTACATTTCTTTACAGGAAGAAAGGGGATACAATCTGATGCATTATAGGTTTATATTTAAAGAAGCAACAGAAGTACAATATCCAATAGCAGAAAACTTTACACAAAATCTATTGAAATGTAAGTAGTGAATTTGAGTTTGACACATCCTATGTTTCTGCTTCACATGATGTGGAACGAGTGTACATGTCCTAACATATATTAACACAACAGAGCAGATACGAAAAAACTCATCATGAAGAATTTGCCAACATCACATGCTAGTTCGTAATCACTTGCACTGTGCTCAAGCAGCAGAATTCCAAATTGGACAACTAAAATTATGTGATTGTTGGCTAAAAATATCCAACAAAAAATATAAAACAAAGTACATGCGCTACTCTAAATTGGGATTTCTTGAGAAGAGAAATCCTAGACTCTTAGAGCTCGTTTGGTGGACAGGATAGGATAAAGGTAGGATATGATATAGGGCTGATAAGCCTATATCATGTCCTGTGTTTGATGAGCACCTGATTAGTAATCTGATAAAATTATGTAAAAAGAGAAAGGAGAGAGAAAAAATAAAATATAATGCAATAAATACAAATATATTGGGTAGCGTTGGAATATATTGGGCATCCAATATTGGTATCCTATCATATTGAATCCTAACCCAGCTCCCCCCATAGGATAAGAAATCATGTATTGAATAGGATAAAATGAGACAATAGGATAAACTAATCATATCCTATTGACCCACCAAACAAGAGATAAAAGTAGGATATGATAAGTTATCCTATTCTATCTTCTTTATCAGGTGCTCCAAACAGGCCCTTAAGTTCTGAAAACTTTGAAAGCATTCATCCAAAAACTAGTTACAACGACCCAAAAAAAAAAAAAATCAACCAAAATTTTCCAGAAAAAAGCAATCACAACCAGTAAGAGGTAAGACCCAAAAATTTTCGGCATAATGGGAACTGGTTTATGAACTACTTTTTTTAAAAAAAAGTAGTGGACCCTACTATATGCAACATAAGATCTAATAGATCCCCTAATTTATATGGTTAAAAACCAATGAGCTCAAGAAAGCATCTGCTGTATCCGAAAATGAAAAAAAAGAAAGAAAGCATCTGCAAGCATTGGCTTGCTACTGCCTTTATCTCTTTCATAGTCTTTCATGTGATACTAATGTAAGATAGATACTTAATTGTCGAACAGGGTTTTCAAATCAGTAACATGCTATTACATTAAAGCATACTTCTTACTAGCTTTACGTAAAATGATCACCAGATCAATTCAACAACCATCAAGGAAAATACAAGACAGAAGAACAAACATGTCAAAGGCTCATACCTAGAGAAAAGTACTATATTGCCCATCCTCACAAAAAATACATCAATCGATATTTAATAAAAAGATTGAATTGAAACATTTATTTTAATAATTGATTGCATGATATAACTAACGGAAGAACCTAAATTTGCGGTAGTTCAAAGCAGGTATATCATTATACCACCCTTTCGCACCAAACCAACCTTCTTATTCGTCATATGGTGAACATGACAAGCACACCAACTTATGCTGATTAACACAGCGTGTCACCAAATGTCCCCTCACAACGACCTTTGTCAAATCCTCCATTGCTCTTAATTGAGGATTGACAAAATAGCAAGTTAGAATATGAAGAAAGCTAAAACCATGATTCAAGATATCTTTACCAATTAGTCATGAAATGGGGCATAAGGTCATGGCTCTCAATCTTAGAAAAAATTGTGACTTTTATTGTTAAGGTCAATTCAAATACATGCAATGACCGAAAATAAAAAAGGAGGGAAAAGAACCCAGTGTAAGAAAGAAACTCAACCAAAAGCCTGACTTACTTGCTTTTTCTGAATCTCCATGATTTCTGCCTGCAGTACCCAAATAATTATTGATTAGGGAAAATTTTAATGTAAGCGAACTTAAGCCATAAATTCATGTACATATGCGTGCCTACATCTCAGCATCTGTACGTGCCATGCGAAAATAGCCAAAATTACCTGCTTTTTCTGAAGTTCTTGGTTGTCCTCTTTTAACTTTGCAACTTCTGCTTCCAATTCCATGGTATAAGCCTGAAATAAATGAAAATAAAAATGCAAGACTGAACTTACAGCAGATATCTTAATACATTTTACAAAATTTCCTACTGCAATACATGCCCACGTTATGTCCCCACTAAAACCCATTTTCAGGTAATAAATATTTACTTACTATTTGTATGTTCATATAAAAAATCAAATCAACTCAAAAGCTTAAAATAGGTCACATTAATGATTTTATATCATACTTCTCTAACAATTTCCCAATCACTGTTCCATTACCTTGAAATAACTTGATCTTTATAACTTCTCATTATTGTAACTTCTCAAAAACTTTCCACGTTTCATCAGGTCAGATCGCAATCATATTACCATTCTGCTGCATAATCATTCATGGGATACAGCATGTTCACAGAGGATAAAAGCAGACTGTCAACGGTCTGGTAGAATTACTAATAGTAAAGCAATAACACGACACGACGCAAACCGTCAACATATTCTTTTGATTTTGAAATGATTGCATAAGTCATTATACCCTATTAGTAGTAAATTATCTGGTATGTTTTTATGATAAAGTTTACAAAATCTTTTCTGTCCCTTATGTTACTGGAAGTAAAATCTACATTCTGCAGCGGCAGGCATTTAATTGTCTACCAAAGACCAGTTACAAACAAGCACTGAGTTTTCATCCTCTTCGTAAAAGGAGACTAATGCAGGGTAAGATCAGTTGTATCAATCGTTTGATTTTCTTATGCTTTAACATAGAGAAATTAAATTTGTTTTCTAGCATCCAAGTAAGTGTTCACTTGGATAAGCAAAAGGCAGAGAACTCTGATTGCTAAATTTTATAATAATAATCATAATGACAGTAACAAGGTAATAGAACAAAAATTCACCTGCTTGCGAGCCCGCGACCTAGCAGCTGATTCTCTGTTCTTTATCATTCTTCTCTGCCTCCTCTCAATTACCTTCTCAACAGCTCCACCGTTCTTCCTCCCTCGCAGACCACCATTAAAGACATAAGGAACCGGTGATATGGAAGAAGTATCACCATTACTCTTTCCAATTTTATCACTGGATATCTGGTTAGCCGGTGACCCAGTAGCAACATGAACAGTCCCAGGTGCCAAACCAACCATACCAATCCCTCCACCTTGCACGAGATTACCATTCAGACCCTGATCCACACCAAGTCCCACAAGTCCACCCCTCATTCCTTGATTACTCGTCAGAGGCATCTGAGTTGCATAACTCATACCAGGCTGCTTAGGAAATATCTGCTGCTGCTGCTGATTCTGATGCTGCTGCTGATGATGTTGATGTTGATGTTGTTGTTGTTGTGAACTCTGCATCTGTTGCTGATTGGATGATCGAACCCCGTTAACGTTCAAGGGCAAATTGGAAGGAGACTGAAGACCCACCATTGGATCATTATTATTCAAAGGAATCCTGTTACCCATAAATCCTGAAACCTTGTTCAACTGCTGAAACCCCAATCCTAAACCGTTGTTATTCCCAGCACGAGACAGATCAACGAAGACTCCATCGTTTGGCCTTGCATTTGCATCTTCTCTGACAACACCGGCTCTTAATAAGAACTCCTCTAACGTCATCTCTCCCAACGTTGGCTGTCTCGGTGTCTGCGCCAAATTAGGACCTCCATGGCCACCATAATCCTTCGAAATATCCTTCCAAACCTCATCCACTGTCTTCTGGCTAAGAGTTCGCGGCAGTGTCAACGACCCTTGCCTCTGTAAATGGTTAATACCCACGGTACCCTCTTCGCCGGCGCCGGCGACGGCGACGCCGCTCCCTGGTGCCATGGTTTGAACCTCTTCGGCGGTCCAAATGTTCTTGAGCAACTCGTCCATGTTCATCGACCCAAAGTCCTTCCCTGAACCCCCCATGCTACTCATGAACTCGTCGAACGTCAGAGAGTACACCGACGGTTGCCGTGCCAGTGAATAATTCCCCGCCGGCCTCCCGCCGCCGTTATCGCCGGCCCCCGGCTCATTTCCTGAGCTCCTAAAATTCATTCTTCTAGTTCCCTATTTGGTCAAATCTGAAGGAAACACGATCACAACCTGATCCAAATCCAATTTTCACATCACAAATCTGAATTCCATCATCAGAAAGAAAAATCCGATTTTCAACTCTCTACTAAGTAATGAAGATATGATTGATTATGCTACAAAACTATTTACATCCAAATTAATTTCAAAAAAAAAAAAAAAAAAAATCTTAGAGAAGAGCTAAGTAAGCTAAGCTGAGCTTGAATGAATAATCAAAGTAGGAAAAAATAAATAAAAAATAAAAAAAAGCTGAATCTGTGAGTGTGGTAGAGTTATTGGAGTGTATTATAAACTAGACATTTAGTTGGTTGTGCTAACCAATTTCTACAGTGGTTGTACATGTAGAAATTTTGACTCCGACAGCACGCAGCATCGTAATAACATGATTCAAGATCCTAATTAAAATAGCCACAATCACAACGCTAGTGATAATCCAGAGCTAATGCTCACAGACAAGCATAAACTGTGTTTTTTTTTTTTTAAGGTAAAAAAAAAAAAAAAAAGAGTTGGAAAAAACTGGAAGAATGAAAGCAGAATAAGAATTAAACAACAAAAAGGGAAAGAAAAGAGGATTGGAAGGAAGTAGAAGAAGAGTAATCTGAAGAAAGAAGAGAGTAAAGAAGAATGCATTTACCTGTGCTATTTATTTGATGTTTCTATGTTTTATTGGTTTTCCTGATTTGGTATGTTTTTGGTGCGTTGGTTGGGTAAGTTCCTCCTTCCTTGGTTACAAGGGCTTGGTTCATACGCCAAGTGTCCAATGTCTGTCCACACTACAATCTTTTCTCGTTTTCCCTTTTCAACACATCATGGAACACAAGAGCCCTGCCATGTTTTTGCTTATACAAAAAAATAAAAATGTGTGCATTTATAGGATATTTTCTTATGTATTTTAATAGTGGTTACTGATTAGTCATTTTTAATAAAATTTTAAATATTTATTACAATGCTCATATTTAATAAGTATAAGACAACTCATTTAAGATATAGTATTCATTAGGACATCATAATAATATTTTATTCATATTACTTTGGTTTTTAGATTTATAAACTTTAGGAAACATATTTGATTAATGTATTCTTTTGTCAACTCTTTCTGGATGTTAAAGAGTTCGGTTTTACTTGTAAATTTTGTAAATTAGAAAAATGATTCAGATAGAACTTTGTCTTCAAAAGTGAGTTTACAAGGTCTCAAAATAATTTCTGAATACGGAAAGTATCAAATAAAAACAATTGATATTCTTTTTATTATAATTAAAAAACTGCCATCATATTTTCAATTTTTTTTAAATTGAAATAAAAATTACTGTTGTTTTCAGCTTTGATTATATTTTAAGAAGCGCTTCTTAAAAAATATTTTTATTAACGTATAAGCAACCACAATTATTTTATGACATACAATATATAAATAATGGTATGAATTTAATTTGTCCCCCGTTATAAAAGATTGAGTTATTTTTAGCAATTTTAAAATAATATTATTTTACGGTTTGATTTTTTTCCCTTAATATTATTACTATAAAATAATGGAAAAAAGCACTTCTTTTGTTATTAGAGAAGTGTTTTCGTGATATTTTAATTTTTGTGTCTTACTTTTTTTTTCACAAAAACAAAATGTGAACCCTACCATTTTTTTTATATAGAAAATTGAAAAGCTCTCATATAAGTTTAAATTTTATAGATGATAAGTTATTAGAATTAATTTAAGAGGTTTGCATTCATCAAGCAACATAAAAAAAAAAGTTTTCTCCACATATAATATTTTTTGAAGCAAAAAAAAAAATTAAGATACAAAAAATGAATCTCTATAATATGACATAATCACTTTTCCTACAACATGACTCTTATAAAAAAATTTAATTTAATAATAAAAAAATTATATTAAATTATGTATTCAATTCTCAAATTTTTTTTAAAAAAAATAGAGACGATAAAGGCTAAAAACAAAACAAACGACACGGCATTGAGATTATAAAATTTTAATGTTATTATTATGTAGAAGCATGAAATGATTAAAATATTATTTGGGAGTGATATATAATATAATATTAGGAGAAAGACATAATAATGGAGTCTGCATACTGCCGACCTTGAGACGTGTACCAATGAAAAAGGAGTGGGAAGGGTTTGATGTGACAGCAACCAATAACATTTTGCTTTCTGGTAGAATCACAGCCGTACACGTTTCTGTTAAAGATATGGTCAGAATTCCTGCTTTTTTCACCCTATCATTCAAATTTGAAAAAAAAAAAAAGTGCATTACCATACAGACTTTGTTTGGTTTCTCGAAAATAAATAAATGAATGTATAAATAAAAGTTATAATTTAATACCGAAGGGTCGCAACTCAATTAGCACTAAGGAGGATCTTTATTTGATTCAGATATATCACTTTTAATAGGAGATTAAATATCTCAATTATTCACCTACTTCGTACTTTGAATTTATCTCATAACTGATTTAAAGAGTCGAATCTTGTGAAAATACTAGAAGAATCAACTTGCCTCAAACGAATAATTAGAATTGTGTTAATTCAAAAAAAGGAAAAAAGTTATAATTTAATAAAAATTATTTCTCATCTTTTATTTAATTCCATCACGAAAAAATAAAATATATTTAAGTAATAAATAAATGAGTAAGTATATTTTTTGGTCCTCAGCAAATTTCACGATGCACGCTTTAGTTCCTAGTAAATAAAAAGGTCCATCATGGTCTCTAAGTAATTCAAAATGAACTTATTTTAATCCTTTTAGAGACTAATATGAGTTTTTTTTTGAATTTGTGAGGACTACGATTTTAATTAAATGGGACAATTGTGAATTTTTAAGGGACCACGATGAGCCTTTTTATTTACTAGGGACTAAAACGGGTGTAGTGAAATTTGCTGATGACCAAAAAGAATATTTAGTCTAAATAAATATTTGATGTAGCTGAGGAAAATACCTTCGTTCCAAAGTCAAGGAGCACAAAATTTATGAGCAATAGGTCCCAGGAAAATGTATTTATCAAAGTCTCTTCCAATTCTTTTTTCCGTTTTTTCTTTCCTTTATACTGTTAATTGGCATCCCAAACATGTTCTTTCGGTTTTTTTTTTTCTTTTTTATTTTACAAATTTGAGTAGAAGATAAAATCTCATCCTTATAAATTCTTTCCTTTTCAATGAGGAAGTGCTACCAAATAAGTAATATACTTTATCTCATTTCTTTCATTTTCTTTGCACTCTTGAAAGCATATACCAAACAAAGCATAATGCAAGGCGATGCGCATGTTGGTCCAAATACCCGTACCTCTGCGTTTGATGCATGTGCAAGCTTTTTCTTGAGCAAATATCTTTTTTATAAAAAACACAACACTCACAAAAGGCAACAGATTAAAGAGACTATTACTGTTCATGGCCGACATGAAAGATTGATATTTTACTTGTTTATTTTTATAATTATTATTTAAGATTAGTGTTTCTCATTTTAGAGGAGTAAAATTATGTCATTTTAGTTAAAATTATTGTACTTTATGGTGAGAAAAATAATTACAAATAAAAATCATAATAAAAGAAAGTGAGAGATTTTTTTGAATTAAATATTAAATAAAACATAATAGTTTTAACCAAAATAATTATCCTTTAAAATGATAAATATGTTTTTCTTATTATTATTATTTTATTAAAAATAAGCAACGTTCAAATCGATTCACGCTCATTTTAACTAATATACTTTGACAAAGATATCATGTATAATCTGACTTTAAAAAATTCGCATAATTATAATGTAAATATATAACTGTATATTTATTTATCCATTATATATTCGTCTATTATCAAACTAATCTTATAGTTGAACTCTTATTTTTTTTTTAAATAATAATAATAAACTTATATTAATATGTTATGTTTGGTGTAATTTAGGTTTAAGACTTGGAAAATTATAAAATACTTTAATAATTTTGCCCATCATGCTCATTTTGAAATAATTGTTTATTGAAGAAGGAGGATCTATAAATTTCAAACGTCTGCGATTATTTTCTTCAGTTCAAATTATTTTTTTGTGGAATGCTTCAATTCTGAAAATGATATATGGACCCCCTCGGTATTACGTGTCTAATTAGAGTTGTCCATTATCTTTATAGTTAGACATGGAACCAATTCAAACTTGAGACTAAAATGAAAAATGAATATGAATGGCCAACTATCAATTAGTGCAACGGTTTCTGTCTTTCATATGATTTGCCTTCTTTTCTTTTCTTTTTCTTTATCCGTTCCATTCCATGTAACATAATGTTACAAATTTATTTGAGGGGTTTTCATTTTTGTACCTACTTCCAGTACATGCTGATCGTGAAGACGCGAACCATCATGTGTCATTTACCACACATGTCCACTCCTCCCTATCCCTATTGTACTGAATTAGTTTCTGTACCTAAGAAGTGTTAATAACATATTTTTTTAATATATCTTATCATTAAATACAATTACAAGCTAATTAAATTTATAAAAAAATAGGTTCAAATTATTCAATGAGATGAACATAAATTTTTAGATGTGTCAAAATAATATAAAAAACTGTGTTACTTTCTTCTTTTAAGCGTTGATTAAAAGAAAGTAAGGAATGTCTCGCATTGTCTCGTTTACATATCAGGGTTCAACTTAATTAAATAAGGGTTTTATTAGTATAATGTTACATGATGTAAGAACATTTTTCTACCCTCACAATAAAGAAGAGAGAGAAGGTGGAATGATGAAAGAGAAAAAAAAAACATGTGGACCCCACCTCTTAATTGTGTGTGTAGAAAAATTTTCTTGGGTTATGTAACATGATAATAATAAAACCCATTAAATAATGATGTTTCCAATTTTCCAATTTTCTTTTCATTTATTAAACAATTCCTAATTAGTTTAATATCGTTGACCAGCGATATATTGCCTTTTAAAACTTCACAATAGTCTGCGCTGCGAATCAAATTTTGTGCCGCTGTTCCTAATTCTGCTTTAGATATTACTTTTAAAAAATAAAATTATATCCCCAAGGGTAGCTCAGTTGGCAGCTGAACTTCCAAGGGATTACTTGGTGCAGGGATCAAATCCTGCCTCAAACAGTTTCTTGAAAAATCTTTAGGGTGCCCGGAGAAGGTTGAATGGGGATACTTCCTGGCAATGTACCAAAAAAATCCAAAATAATGTTATTTTGAGACGAAAATTAAAGTATTTTTATAATTATAATACATTGCAGGTTATATTCAGTGGCAGAGCCACACCTATGCCAGCAGGTGCCTTGGCACCTGCTTGATTTTAAATTCTTTTACTTATTACATATAAATATATAATTAATTATGATTAACAAAGATTAAATTTATAATTTGGTACCACCTAAATAAATATAATTATATTTATGTTTTTCAATTAGAAAAATAAAACCCAATACCCAAACCCTTTTACCTAACCTATAAATTAAAATCACTTTCAAAACCCTAATTTGTGAATTACAATTGCAATCAAATTTTTTTGAAGCTTGAGCCTTGCTTCTTTTTTTGTCTCACTTGTTGCACAACTTGCTTGCTCCTGTGAGGCTTCAACTAAAATAGTAATGGCTGTGGTTGGCTACTTGGTTTCGGGCTTGGGCGCT